GGGGGACGGAGGGGCCCGATGTGGGGCAGGGCGCGAAGGAGCGGCCGTTACCGGGTCTCTGGTTTGCCGCAGCCCCCGGGAACCTCTTCGGTAATGGCCCGTTTGTGTTCCTCAGGAGCTGAGGATGAGCAAGCCCGTGACGAGTTCGACGTACGTGCGCTGCCTTGGCTACGGGCTCATGAGGCAGCTGGCAGATTTCATCGACCCGCAAGAGGGGTGGAAGAAACTAGCAGTAGATATAACCAACCCATCTGGTGAAAGCAGATACAACCAAATGCATATAAGGTTCTACACAAAACATTGTTTATTAACTGTTTGACATAAATACTGTTGCCCATCCCATTCTGCTGCCCATCCCATTACTGTAACTTGTTGCAGTTTGTGTGCCAGTACGTACTTCAATCTTGTAGTAGCATTTCCTTAGGGAACTCAAGGTAATTACTCCTAATTGTTCTGTAGTGGAGTTTTCTGACGAGCTGTAGCCAGAGTGAATTGACTAAGGAAGTCAGAATTAATTAGAGCCACAGGCATATGTGTGTTTCGTGGTACAGCATTGTCTGTGTAACATTCTGTACCCTAGAGACCAGTAGACATTGACTTAATTGTGCATCTTTGCACAAGAACAGTGCAGGATACAGCTGGAGTGTAACTCCTAATTCACTCTTCCCAGGACAATGCCCAACAAATGTGGGGAGCCCAAGGCCTAAAACTAACAAATTTAATCAAGAAGTAATGGCAGCAGTGTTTTGTGAACACATTTCTCGAAGGACCTGTTTCAGAGGTTATGAGAATTTAAATACCCTACTTATCATCATTGGTTTCCTGCCTTTCTAGTGATGGTAGCTTTAGATCTTTGTTTTTATTTCAGTAATAATAACAATAAATTGGTCAGAATAATGGATCTCAATTTTTGCTTAATGCTCATCTCAAAATATTCAAAATGAAGTATGAATACCAAATGGATGACAATTTCCATTTGATCTGGCTCTGACTTGCCCTCTGTCTCTCACTGTCCTCTTCTCTGTTAGTCCCATGTCCTGATATATATATTGGTCCTGGACAAAGTCTTGAAGCTATGTATGCATATTTTTCCCTTAGTTTTTCCCATATTTTGCATATTTTCCCAGTGAGTTTGAATTTCTTTTTTCTTTTTACCTACATTTTCAGAATATTTGAGAATATTTTGTGTACAGTACAGTTCAGTACATTCTGAACGTTTGTTGGGTTTTTTTGGGTTTGGGGTTTTCATTTACCTTTAATCTCTTTCACGTCATGGTTATTCAGGTCACATTTATTTTATGTTTTTAATGTTGATCTTAATTTATCTTTTAAGGAGATTTGAGGCATTTGTACAAATGGGGAAGAGCCCCACATGTGAATTACTGTATGACTGGGGAACGACAAACTGTACTGTTGGCGATCTTGTGGATCTGCTAGTTAGGAATCAGTTCCTAGCACCAGCAAGGCTTTTGCTTCCAGGTAACTCTTACTCTTGTACATTGTGCTCTGTGTTCTCAGTGTTCTAAGATGCTAAAGAGCTTCACAGTAACTTGAACATCAGGAAGGATTAGATCAAATAACAAAAAGTGCATATTTTCATTTTTCATTATTTGTAAATAAGAGTTTCAAGGTTTATTTAAATAAGAGTCCTGCAGTTTAGATACTGTGGCAGAATATGACTTTCTCATGACACTTACTTGTCTCCTAATCTTAGTAAATACAGACCTTAATATGACTTGGTTTTTGATTCCTAATGTAGTTAACACTTTTTCTAAATTCCATTTTCAGAATCTGCGAGGATGGCACAAGAAGTTACATTACCTTCACAGGAAACCTTGCCTATACATGAAAAACAACTGCCTATACAGGAAAAAGAGGTGGCATCTGTAAAGCCTGTTTTAGCTCAGAGTACTGAGAAGCAAGGTTCAGCTCCTTCCTGCTTAAATCAAGAGAGTAGCAGTTCACAGTCAAGTAACACAGGTAGGCACTTAGTTTGGTAGAATTAAGTATAGTCTTTCTTGATGATGTATACTTCACTCCATGTGAAATAAATCATAGTGATACATTAGGGCAATTACTCTGTCCCTGTCATTGTGTGTCTATGGGAAAAGAAATCTTTTGCTCTTATTCTGTGGCTGTAGATTTAGCCTGTGTAATAAGATGTCTGAATATGAGATGCACCTTGCCAATAAGGTAGCTCCTGTGATGGAGAACTTGACTGTTAATTAAATTGCAATTTACTTTGTGATACACAGAATCCTATTGCCCTTTATCAATACTGATTTTGTAGACTGGCTGGCGTCTTGTGTTTTAAAGTTGGATTTTACATATCAGAAATTACTTAAGAGTGATGGAGAAAATATGAGTAAATAAAGCATTGTAGAAAAGTATAGGGTTGGTCCATTCCTTCCTACAGGTTGACTTCTGGGTTGCTGTCAGAAACATGATGTGATCTAGATATATTTTTAAATCTGATGCAGTGTGGCTCTCTAATCTTCTGCACATTTAATTTCTATTACCTGTATTATGAGTACTAATAAAAAATACAACCTCAAGGCTGCTACAGTGCTAGTTGTGAAGAAAATTATGCATAGCTAATTATATGTGTTTTTCTGCATTTCATATTTTTTTCTGCTGTCTTAATCACAAAACTGGAAGTAGGGCTCCACTATGTCAGGATTTGCATTTTAGCTAATTTTTGGTTTAATAGAACTGAAGCAGAGCATCTATTTGATACTCCTGTTTTTAAGTGAAAACATAGCTGTGCTAAATGACAATTGTGTCTTTCAGATTTCCATAATTTTTTGTTTCATGACTTGGAAAGTGTTACAAATAATTTTGATGCACGACCAGAATCAGCTGGAGGTAATAAACTAGGAGAAGGTGGCTTTGGCATTGTGTTCAAAGGCTGCATCAATGGCAGAGACGTGGCAGTCAAGAAGCTCATTGCTGTGAGTTGTCCTAGGCATTTTTTTTTAATGACTGTGTTCTTCATGGTATAGAGTTGTTTATCTGTGGAAAATGTTGAGTGATATAATTCAAAAAGTGTCAGCATTTTAAACATCAGTTGAGTTGAGAACCTTATCCTGTATTTCCATGAGTGGTGAGTCAGCACACAGTCACCAGACACAAAGTCTTTCCCTTTTTGTAGTTCTTCTTTGAGTGGCTCAGGCCAGTTTTCTGGAAAAGCAGTGTGCTCTCCCAGTACTTCAGCCTCCACCCCACACAAGGGGTAGAAAGGAAGGGCTTCAGAATCGATTAATAAACTAAGTGCCTATTGCTGCAGAATTGTAGTCTTCATAACTGATGGTTGGTTGAGATAATTAGTTTTATATAAAGAAGTAATTAATTAATGGGTAGATGCAATTAAATTAAATGGAGATCCATTTGTTCAACAATGTTGTATATCCAGTTCTGATACTTTTTTAGTTGAATAAAAAAAAATTGTAAATACTTAAGTAGTTGTTACATGTAACTAATGAAACGCTTACAATTAAAATTTTTTTTTAATGAACAACTGTGCAATTCAATATGGCCAGGGATATTAATGTCAAATACTTCCTGTTGTAGATGGTTGATGTTAGTGTTCAGGACCTGAAGCAGCAGTTTGATCAAGAAATAAGAATT